GCGAATTTGCAGTTGTACATAGCGATTTTTACAAGCCTTTACATGCAGGCCTTTCGCAGTATTTAGAAGCCAGTACTATATAAACTTCTCAAGTTCCTTGTAGCCTTGGTGGCCCGGGCGCCATGCCCAGTTTTTACCGACATTTTACTATTGTCACTCGCTGGACTACAGAGAATGACATGGCTAAAACCTCCTCAGATTTTTTTAAACAGATAAAAATCAGTGCGCGCGAATGTTATCCATAAAACGACATCAGTCTGGACTATCTCAAGTGCAGGTGTGAAGTAAGTGAATATTAACCGTAAGGGCCATGACCTAACACTCATGACAATAGAACTACAAATCTCATGCAAATATAACGTAACATACCTCCTCATTATTTTGTTATAAAGAAACCCTTATAGCTTCTTTTCTCTATTTCTAGACTTATAGAGTTCCTTATTAAGGGACAATTCTAAGAACAGGCAGCAGGTAGTCAAGCGTGGCACAACGTCAAGGACGCAAACAAAGGTAAAGAGAAGTTTTCGCTAGCCAAGCGGGTCGGCATGCCTGGCGGCGGAACTCTGCCCACCTGTCCGCCAGCAGGCTATGAACCTTATCCCCAAGCAGATAAAGATCTGGCTGCCAGACGGAAGATACCGGTACAAAAAAGAAAGGGCATGTGATCTCGTAAGGACCCGGGAAGGGCAGGTCGGGACATCTCCCGACATTCCAAGGTCGGAGCAGGGGCACATCGGGACAACAGGTAGGGTTTCTTGGAGCAGCCCGAACGCCATAGGCTGTTTGTTGTCACGTGATCAAGACGTAGTTCGATTTACCATGTCATTAGTTGAAATGTTACATCCAAGCAGATCTTGTGGTGGCAAAATCGTAACTGCTAAGATCTACCCCTTTTTCGTGGCCATAGACAAGATTTTGGCGGGGGTTACAATACATCTGCTTGAATTTAACCCTTGTCCTTCATTTTTTTCACATTTTTTTTTAAAGATCCATGTCTTAATTGAGTCATCATCATCATCATGGCTTGTCCTCGCATACCCTGCGGTGGAATAGTTACTTCCGCATTTGTTGCGTTTCGCTTCGGTGTAATCCGTTGCACGGATTCATTAAATATGAATAATTTATGCTAATTTGATGACGTCATTGGCCAAAATCCAAGATGGCGGATCATATCATTAGAACAGGTATATACAGGTTATTTTCATTAAAATGTCATCAATACTTCCATTTCTTTTTTCAAAAAAGGTTTGAATGGATGTCTTTAGTATGTTTACAATGTATTTTAGGCTTTATCATGAAAAAAAACTATTTTTGAAAATTCAAGATTGATGATCCAAGATGGCGGATATCTTAAATATTCATGACGTCACTTTATGACGTCACCGGTGTTGCTATGGGCAACATAAGACTTAGTACACCATACTATTCTGTCATAAACACTTTTGGTACAGTTATGTTGAATACCATTTAGTTTTCAGGGAAAAACCTATTTAGACGGTTTTGGCCAATAAAATCACATTAATGACGTCATAATGACGTCATATTACGTCATAACGACATAAAAATTGTAGATATGATAAATTTTTACTAGTACACCATTCTCTGAAAATTGGTGGTCATACGACATACC